CAAACATTCTGACCATAGTTGTGCACTAACAAATATGCACAGCGTAACTTGGGATAAAAAGGATGTGGGCACCAGAGGAAAATCAGCAAAACCTGAAAGACAATCTAAACTGAATCAAAATCTAAGCTCTCTCCTCAACAATACCCATCTGATATGGGTTGAATTGTGTTTCCCCCTTGAAAATAGAAATGCTAGAGTGTTAACCCCCAATACCTCAAAATGTGACCTTATTTGGAAATAGGATCTTTATGCAAGTAATCAAGTTAAAATGAGGCCATGAGGGTGGGCCCTAATCCAATATGACTGGTGTCTTTATAAAAAGGGGAAATTTGAACACCAAGATCAAATGTTCAGATCCCCATACTACCAGAAAGCCAGAAAAATACAAAATTAGTTAATTAATTAAAAAGGAGAAATTTGGATATAGACATGCATGGAAGGAAGATGATGTGAAGACATGATAAGAAAACCTCTATAAGCCAAAGATTGTCAGCCAACCACCAGTTGCTAGGAGAGAGACCAGGAACAGATTCACCCTCACACCCTCCAAAGAAACCAACACTGCTAACACTTTGATTTTGGACTTCTAGCCTAAACTCTGTTGTTTAAGCCACGCAGTTTATAGTACTTTGTTATGGAAGCCCCAGGAAATTAGTACACCATCTAAGGATACTTACCAGTTTCTTAATGAGAAGGCCGGAAGAAAGTGACAGTCTGAATCCCATTGATAAGCGCACACTGGTTTTGCTTATAAATTATCTCAACATACTGATTTGTAAAGTGTATAGGATCTCAGTCTCCAGTATAGACTCGATTCTTGAACCATCTCCTTCAGCCCTGAGTTAAGAAGTTCTGTTGAATCTATTGTAATTTTCTGAACATGGTACATTGTACCTGAGTACTGCTGTCAAGATTCTGGTGGCTGCCGTGGTCAAAACCAGAATTCCTCTCTAAACAGAATGACTCTTTAATATGGCTTTTGGTTTTTTCTGTCCAGGTAGGCTATATGATAGGGAAGCACTTTATAGATGGTGAAATACTATGCAATAATAAAAATACCTATTCCACTGATAAAAATATTTTATTTCACGTTTCTTTCCCATCTTGACAAACATAAAAGGTTTTTATAAAACTCCAGTAAAGTAATCTTAGGAATGTTGGGAAAGAATATGAGGGTACTTAAAAAAGTTCATGGAAAGATTTGTATTATCTTTCAATTCTATTTTTCCACAAACTTTTTGAAGTACCCTCATACGTATTGTTCCAACAGAAAACTGATTGCATATCAGAAATCATGGCAAAAGTCCAATTACACCAGAATGATCCTCACAGTGCCCTACAAAATTCCCTATTGGAATCCACTTCCACTCTCCCCTCACTGTCCCCCACACATGACACCATCATCTAGATGATTTAGGGGGATNAAAGTTCATGGAAAGATTTGTATTATCTTTCAATTCTATTTTTCCACAAACTTTTTGAAGTACCCTCATACGTATTGTTCCAACAGAAAACTGATTGCATATCAGAAATCATGGCAAAAGTCCAATTACACCAGAATGATCCTCACAGTGCCCTACAAAATTCCCTATTGGA